GTTGGCTCGGAGTCAGTATAATGTGTCTGAGTGAGGTATTCATGCTTAACTGCGGCATGGTATCTCAGTGAACTAGCATTATAAAACCAGCTTAGGTCTGGGCTAGTACAAGGAGCCGCACATACACATACACACGCATTCACGTCGTCATATGAGCGAAATATTCATAAGTAAACCCCATTTCACATCACATCTGTTTTTTCCCGCCGTGATATTACTGGAATATTGCTAAAACAGCGTAAAACTAAACCTCACTTACTCACTCACATAATATAGAAGGCACATCTCTGGAAGCACAGTACGATAATGGGATTTAGTTTTCAACGTAATATGAACGTGTTGAACTTTGCTGGTAGTTTTAACTCAATGAAGCGACCATAAAATGTCCAAGTGAATTCGAGCTACGAACGACGGACTTTCTGATTCGAAGTCCGTCAAATGCAGATTACCAAAGAGGAAAAACTCGTAAAGTGTTGAATAGGTAAGGGTGTCCTCTGTGAGATAAAACTGTTAACAAAGTCCCAGTCATCTAAAACCCATGAGGTTGATCTTGTCAGTGAAAACATTAAAAGAAAATTCTAACTTAAGACCAAACAAACAATGGCCAGATTTGTCACACATGTAATAGTGGTAATAGGTTCAAAGGCGTTATAACTGACCACAAACAACTGTCGTTATCTCGAGGTATGAACCTCTTAGTCTGCTGCCTCTGTTCAATATCCACACTGATGGAGGCTTCCATTATGAGTGCACGTGACCAATCTTCAACTGTCATTCACCCCACCTTTTAACATGACACAAAGTTCTGACGTAGCCTACTAGTTTATTTTCGATCGAAGAACAAAGACTTTCTTAAGATCAGTTATTCCTTTTTTTCGCTGACGTTCCCAAATTCCCTACTGACAAGCACAGAAGTGTCTATCGTGAAATATGCTAATGCCGGAAAGCGCTCGTAAAATCTCCAAATCATCACAGAAGCGTTAGTTAACCCTGCCCTCGGTTGAAGACGTGGCCCGCACGCAGAACACAAGATAAATGTGATCACGTGACGATCCAGTTACGTGATGAAGGTTTGCTAATCACTAATTAATGAAGCCCAGTTTAGGTTCAAAGTTTCATTTTAAGAATATGTACTTTACTAAGAAAGTGTAATCCCAGATATAACATATGTTAACTTGAAGTTAACAACATTTTTTAATAATAGACTTCTGCTGTGATATAGAACTTTGACAATTATCGCAATAAAACTGGGTTTTCCTAATAAACTATCCCCACCCTTAACCCCTTGAACGTAATGAGAATACCCCACTCATTCGTATCCGTCAAGTCACTAATGAGATCGAGGTTGTATGTCCGTGTGCACCAGTTTGCTTTATTGACATAACTTGTTCTGGGCATTCAGATTAGTACGGAAGTCTGTTGGGATCACTTTTTTTTTAAATATATTGTTGCCGAAGTTCGTAGACACTTCTATGTTGAACACCATGTACAAAACTTTGAAAACAAAACTATGTTTTAAATTTGAAGACAGTATATTCAAATTTGAGTGCAAAACTTTGTTTTAAATTTGAAGACACTAAGTTCAAATTTGAAGGCAAAAATATGTTTAAATATGAAAACACTATATTTAAAGTTGGAGACACCACTGTGTTGAAATGTCTCCATATAAAATTCAAAGTTAATATGCTGTATTGAAATTTCAAGATATAAACTTGAATTTCAAGTTACTACCTTGAAATTTTAAACTTTTCGTGTTTGAGATATGTTTATTAAGGAAGAATATAAGGATGCCTTGTAGGGTCATAATGTTCTGTGGATTTTCAAGACGCTAACTTGAAATTAAAACTTAGTATCTTGGGACCAGTGAAGATTAAGGTTAGGTCTTCAGCAACCAATGCTTATTAGAGGCGACTAAACGGATTCGGTGTGGTCAGACTCGCTGACTAATGGATGACACATGTCATCATATCCCAATCTTTGCTCATGATGTTGATCACTGGGTTGTCTTTTCCAGACTCCATTGTTTGCAGATTTAAACCGTGTAGATGGAATATATCCGAGTTCGGCGTTTAACAACTAACGAACGAATAGTATCTTGACATTTCATCATACTTAGCGAAATGTCCTTAAAAGGTTTCCGTATATTATCGAATTGACGAGCAATAAATATCTTTTTAAACAGATATGGAAAGCTATGACAAATATTGTCCACGTGTTCAGCGCCAGTCTCCAAGGCAACAAAGACTATCGCTTCGGTAAATACAAAACACGCACACAACCAAGCATTGTATTCAAGATATTTATATGCTATCACTTAATATTTAATCCGAAATGGGATTTTGTCAATAACAAAAAGTATATGAAAGTCATTCTGTGCATTTGGATCATGTTCTTTTCATGAAAGATATGTCACAGGGGTAGGGCGGGCATGAACAGAGAGGTCATCTCTCTGAAGCGATATGTATGATATATCTTTTATATACAGTAAAAACCGTTGTGTCGAAGGTGGTATGACCTTGCTTTGAGGTATCCGATGTTCGACACAACCGCAAAATGACTAAATGAGGAATACTCAGGGCCCAAGCTTTAACTTCGAGACAACCGTAAGTTTGACACATCAATGTTCGACACAAAGGCGATTGATTATATATCACAGAGGCAGGGTGGGTATGAACAAAGTTGTCACTCCGTCGATATGGATCATAGATCGTTGTGTCGAAGTTGGAATGCCCTCCTTAATTACATCGCGTTATCCGAGGTTCCGCAAACGCAAATGATTACTAAATGAGGGATGCTTTACTTCGAGCCAACCGTAGTTCGACACAAGGGTTTTGGACTGTTTTAAAGTAAATGTCAAGTTACAAACTTGAAAAATAGTAAAATGGCATTTCATTTCAAAATCCGCTTCTCAGAGCAAGATGGGTCTTTTTCTGTCTGATAAAGGTATTCTGTACGGCCAGGACTTTGTTCTGTACAGAAATACGAACGATGAACAAAATGTATAAAAAATATACGAACAATATATCACAGTTTGAGGGTATCACAGGTGAACAGCGTAAATATGGGTAAAAAGCATCAATATAGTTAACAGCATAAATATTGGTAAACAAAACAGAAAGCCCTTTAATCCGACATCCTCGTATCTAGACTGTGGGGTCGTCTACACAACGGACACTTTATATAAAACTGATCCATTAATACGTGGATATGTTCCAGCCCATTCGTAACTACTCGCCTCTTTCCGTGACCTACAAGAAGACCATCCGGCTTGCCGAAATGACACGAGTAGTTACGAATGGTTCCAGCCCGACGATTTAACTTGTGACAGTATCGTTTGCATTTCAGGCGCTTCACTGTTAGTACATCTAAAATGACAAGTATTAATCGAAATGCATTTAAAACTTGAAAATTGCAAACCTTCACGGACATAGTATGGTTTTTAAACAGGACAGATAAAACAACTGTATCATTTATGAAAGTCTATAGCAATTTGGAAGTCGATTTAATCGTAGAAACGTGTATTTACAGATAACAAGCTATTATTCTCCCACCCTCTCAATACCCTGACGAGTTCGATCAGAATTAACCCTAAAATGTTTGTTAAATATAAACGTTGTTTCTATAATGCCTGTCGTCGTAATTATATTATTTACATAATAAACTATCAAGATTAATGGCTTGCTACAAATAATGGAATGAGTTGGGAAAATTACAATTTCAAGACTAGGAAATGTTCAACACCGGTAGAGATTATATGGACAACAAACCCCTGTTAATCCGGACGTATAGTATTCCAGGTGAATTCTAGATCTGTTGTCAGATTTTATATTCATATACAAAGGGACTTTCAGTAGTATTAATGACTCGTGAATAAACCGATATGCTGAATGTTCTTGGAAAAGACATTTCTCGTGGCGAATAGCTGCAAAACTGCTGCTGTGGCGTCAAACAATATTCACTCACTTTATTTCCATGGAATCGATAGCGTCCGGATAAGCAGGGGTTCACTGTATAGGATTAACAACAACATCACAAAAACATGCAGGCAGACTGGACCATCAAAACAATGGTCACTCATTACAGTGAGGATATAAATTAATATAGTTTTCTAATGTAACAAACCACTACCATCACTTGGTGAGGCTTTGTTAAGATCCGTTAAGTAAACCGTATATCAGATTTCGGAAAATAAACCCAGACAAAAAAACTAATTACTATGCGAGGAAAACATGAAATTCATAATATAGAGTTGTTGGTCCTATTTTCAATATAATCCTCTAAAACATTAAGTTATTAATGATAAGATCTCCTTTGCAATAAAACAGTCACTTTTTAAACACATCTTCTATATAAACATGAAGCTCTAAATAATATAATCTGCTCTTTCAGTAAAACAGTCACTTCTTAAACACATCTTCTATATAAAAAAATAAGAAGTTCTAAATAATACAATCTTATTTTTCAGTAAAACAGTCACTTTTTAAACACTTTTTCGATAAAAACATGACGTTCACAAAACTTAATCTTCTTTTTAGATCAAACAGCCACTTTTGCTGTTTTCCGATTAGGCTCACCCATACAAGAGACCATAGTCTGGTCTTAACAACGATGTACACTGGACGGATAGATATAGGGTGCATTGCACCAACATGTCGATAAATAATAGTGGAAATATTACACCATACTACACCGGGTGGTAATTAAAAAAGATATAACATGACATTGTATTAAGATGAGGCTGAATGCCAAAATAAACAACACCAGAGCTCATTCCTATTGCGTTTTGTTTGTAAACACTTAGACTAAGGGGATATATCATATTAGAAAAATAATTTCGTAATAACAAAATTAACCAATCACGTCACGCTTGTTAATATCCACGATGCAAGCTGCAACGGGGGAATTACAATGGATTTTGTTATATTTTAGTGGTATTGTTATATCCACCTACGTAATACCCCAAATTGATTGTTCATGACGTATCTGTCGGAATGACAAGGTTATACTTGGACTTCCGGCATGCCGTTAAGTTTGTCGCCATTGTTGGCTGGTTTATTTTGTGGACCGCCATTGTTGTTCCCGCCAGAACTGTTAGCAGCAGACGACTGGGCTGCCGGGGGTTGTGTAGTTGTAGGAGGCTGGGATGGGGCTGATGGGGCACTTGACGTCGTTGCAGTGGATTTAGGACACAATTTAGCCACCAGTTTGAACCTCCATATTACAGCACCACACGCCGAGATGAGCGCCACGCTCCCTGTCACTGCTCCGGCAATGGTGGCCGCTTGGCTGGAAGCGCTTTCAGTATTGGGTGGAGTATTGGATGTTTTCTCTGTGGTCGCAGCTGATGTATCGCCTGTGGTTGCTGTATCCGTAGTCGTGGTTTCACCGGTTGCGGTGTCTGATGTTGTTGTTGTACCGGCTGCTGTGTCTGCTGTAGTGGTTGTAGCGGCTGATGTGTCTGCTGTAGTGGTTGTAGCGGCTGATGTGTCTGCTGTAGTGGTTGTACCGGCTGCTGTGTCTGCTGTAGTGGTTGTAGCGGCTGCTGTAGTGGTTGTAGTGGCTGCTGTGTCTGCTGTAGTGGTTGTAGCGGCTGCTGTAGTGGTTGTAGTGGCTGCTGTAGTGGTGCTGTTGCGGCTGCTGTAGTGGTTGCTGTAGTGGTTGTAGTGGCCGCTGCTGTGTCTGCTGTAGTGGTCTGTAGTGGTTGTGGCTGCTAGTGGTCGTAGCGGCTGCTGTAGTGGTTGTAGCGGCTGCTGCTGTAGTGGTTGTAGCGCTGCTGCTGTAGTGGTGTGTAGTGGCTGCTGTGTCTGCTGTAGTGGTTGTGGCGGCTGCTGTGTGGTCTGCTGTAGTGGTTGTAGTGGCTGCTGTGTCTGCTGTAGTGGTTGTAGCGGCTGCTGTGTCTGCCGTAGTGGTTGTAGCAGCTGCTGTGTCTGCTGTAGTGGCAGTTAAGTCTGTTGTGGCAAAATCGGTGGTTGTTGTATCTGTTGCAGCAGTGGTCACTGACGAAGACGGAGATGACCCAAACGCATCCGTTGTTGTGGTTGGAGCTAATGAAAATACTGTAGGTGTCGTGGTCATAGCTGGGTTTGGGCTTGCAGGCCCAGGTACCTCTGTAGCAGAGAGAACGTTTGTCTGCATGCCAGATTCTCCGTTATATGGCAGTGACAAAGAAGATGTGGTACCTGTTAATGTTGGACTCACTTGTGAAGCTCCCGAGTAGTAATCTGACGATGGATAGATGGTCCCACTGCTAGAGATCCTTGGAGAATAAACAGAAGAAACATCATTGTATGGTCCAAGTGAAACCAGAGGTGTCGGATTGTCACTTGCTGACGGTGACATCTGACTAGAGTCTCTGGGATTAAATGTAGATGAAACATCACTGTGTGGTGCTTGTGAAATCTGAGATGCCGCACTGCCACTCGCTGGCTGTGATGGAAGGATCATCTGGCTTGAGTCTCTGGGATTATATACAGATGAAACATCACTGTGTGGTCCTTGAGAAATCTGAGATGCCGCACTGCCACTCACCGTCTGTGATGGAAGGATCATCTGGCTAGAGTCTCTTAGATTATATACAGATGGAACATCACTGTGTGGTCCTTGAGAAATCTGAGATGCCGCACTGCCACTCGCTGTTTGTGATGGAAGGATCATCTGGCTTGAGTCTCTGGGATTATATACAGATGAAACATCACTGTGTGGTCCTTGAGAAATCTGAGATGCCGCACTGCCACTCGCCGTCTGTGATGGAAGGATCATCTGGCTTGAGTCTCTGGGATTATATACAGATGGAACATAACTGTGTGGTCCTTGAGAAATCTGAGATGCTGCACTGCCACTCGCTGTCTGTGATGGAAGGATCATCTGGCTTGAGTCTCTGAGATTATATCCAGATGAAACATCACTGTGTGGTCCTTGAGAAATCTGAGATGCCGCACTGCCACTCGCTGGCTGTGATGGAAGGATCATCTGGCTTGAGTCTCTGAGATTATATACAGATGAAACATCACTGTGTGGTCCTTGAGAAATCTGAGATGCCGCAGTGCCACTGGCTGTCTGTGATGGAAGGATCATCTGGCTAGAGTCTCTGGGATTATATCCAGATGAAACATCACTGTGTGGTCCTTGAGAAATCTGAGATGCCGCACTGTCACTTGCTGTCTGTGATGGAAGGATCATCTGGCTAGAGTCACGTGGATTATATTCAGATGGAACATCACTGTGTGGTCCTTGAGAAATCTGAGATGCCGCATTGTCACCTGCTGTCTGTGATGGGAGGATCATCTGGCTTGAGTCTCTGGGATTATATACAGATGGAACATCACTGTGTGGTCCTTGAGAAATCTGAGATGCCGCACTGTCACCTGCTGTCTGTGATGGAAGGATCATCTGGCTAGAGTCACGCGGATTATATACAGATGAAACATCACTGTGTGGTCCTTGAGAAATCTGAGATCCCGCACTGTCACCTGCTGTCTGTGATGGAAGGATCATCTGGCTAGAGTCACGCGGATTATATACAGATGGAACATCACTGTGTGGTCCTTGAAAAATCTGAGATGCTGCACTGTCACCTGCTGTCTGTGATGGGAGGATCATCTGGCTTGAGTCTCTGGGATTATATACAGATGGAACATCACTGTGTGGTCCTTGAGAAATCTGAGATGCCGCACTGTCACCTGCTGTCTGTGATGGAAGGATCATCTGGCTAGAGTCTCTGGGATTATATTCAGATGAAACATCACTGTGTGGTCCTTGAGAAATCTGAGATGCCGCACTGTCACCTGCTGTCTGTGATGGAGGGATCATCTGGCTTGAGTCTCTCGGGTTATACACAGATGAAACATCACTGTGTGGCATCAGAGATGGTGGATTATAACTGTCACTGCCTGACTGTGATCTGCTCTGAACAGATATTTCGCCTGTATCGCTGATAGAGAGAGGAGAGTAGCTTGGTGATCCACTGAACTCGGAAACATCCACGCAATCTCCCAGCTTGGAGCACATGTCCAAGCTACTGGCAGGTGCGTTTGGTTTATACATTGACATGGACGACTGAACTGTAACAGAGATATCCAGAAGATACGCTTCCAGAGGAGGTTCCAAGGGAGATAACTTGTGATAGTGGTGAAGTTGCATCAGATGGCAGAACAGTATGTGAACCAGCTGTATTCCAGGAACCAGTGTTCGAGTCCGAGCGGATGATTGAGTCTGAAGTTTGCAGGAAAACATCTGATGGTTGTATTGACGGTATGTTGATGGAGTGAGGAGTGTCTGATTGTGAAATAGCTGAAGATCCCAGAGACATCATTCTGTAAGGATCTGTTGAAGCAGAAATTGATAAGACGTCAGTTTGACTTCCTGCACTGTATGCTAGGTCTGACATCACTATCGATTCGGTGTTTGTAACAAACAGACGTGTAACTGGTTCAGAATCAGCACTTGCTGATGTCAATACCATGGAAGAAGGCATAGAGACATCAGTCGTTAGGTGATCAGAAGAAGGGAGAACCGTTGTTGACTGGCATTGTACTGCTAGTCTTCCGGCTGCGTCCTTCAGATAGGTCCTCTGGTAGTCACTAGGGGCTCCACAATCAGGATCCGGAGCGTCAGTGAATCGTTTATATTTCACAGAGTCTATATCGCGAATAAACTCAGCAAACCAGGCACTGTTGCAGTCACACACCCAGGGATTTTCACTGATATACACACTATCACTTCGTAATACAAAGTCTTTAAAGGATAGCGACACAGTGGTCAAACTGTTAGCTTCCAGATCTGTGATTCCAGCTGTACAATTTGCAAAGGCATTATCAGCAATACTCGAAATACGATTTCCCGCCAGGATGAGTTCAGACAATTCAAGACCAGGACATACGGAGTTTTCAAGTCGGGATATCATGTTGTCAGAGATATCTAAAATCCGAAGGCTGTTTGCCACAGAATTCAAAGTTCTAGATGGGAAGGATGCCAACTGATTATTTGCCAGATTTAATTGAGTCAGTGAGGTGTCAGCAAACGCTAGGTCAGAAATTTGTGATATTTGGTTGTCAAACAAAATGAGCATTTGTAAACCTTGTAGCCTGCTAAACATGTGGGACGTCAGGGAAGTGAGTTTGTTCTGTGCAAGATTCAACCCCTGTAGGGATGTGGCAGTGCCCATAGATGCTGAATCAAAAGATGGAAAAGAATTGTTTGAGAGATCTAGAAACATTAAACTGTTGAGGTTTGTCAACGTGCTGAAGGATAGTTCGGTCAACCTATTTCCAGTAAGACTCACTTGTTGCAATGAAGTCATGTTTTCGAAGACATTGTCTGGTATGACTGCTAAACCACTATTAGAAACTGTAAGTCTCTGTATGAGGGGGTTATTCTTGAATGTATCTGAAGCAAATGTCGTTATTCCATAGTTCGTAAAGGTGAGAGACATTAGGTTTCCTTTCCCTGCTAAGAAACTGCCATCCATTATTCCACCTCGGATCACGTAATCAGACAGCGTCATTTCCTGCACTGCGTTTGGCACTACCGTTGGTGAAATGCCTGAACATACCACCTTCACAATCTGGCCAGATATTGGATCTGTTTCACAGCTCGAACATTCAAGAGGACATGTTGGTGATGTGGAGGTCTCAACTGTTGTTGTTGTTGTTGTTGTCAAACATTCTACCTCCAGATCTCTGGCAGCTGTCTGTAGACTGGTGCCAACATACTTGGAGGGACTTGCACAAGCTGGATCGGATGCATTCTCAGACAGGAACTTGTAGGATGTATCCCGAACAGATTGGGTCAGCCACATTGTATCACAGTCACACAGCCAGGGATTGCCAGACAGATAAACACCAGACGACTGAGAAAGGAAGGTCGATAGATCAGCTGGGAAGGATTCAATGTTGTTATTTTCAAGGTTGGTCACATTTATATGGGAACCTCCAATCACAGAGGTGTCAAACGATGTTAAAGAGTTGTTGCTCAGGTCAAGTAGATCAAGATTCAAATTATTCAGCTCTCCAGCTGCAATATTTTGTATTCGATTCCTGCTCAGTTTTAAGATTTTCAGAGTGGAGGACACATCCTGAATCGAAGAGGGTACTGCGGAAAGGATATTAGTGTTCATGTCCAGTTCTTCTAACGGCATACCCCGGAATACGTCTACATCGACGGCGGCAATTTGATTTTCTGACAGATACAAAGTCTGTACATTTACCAGATTTGCAAAGTCACCAACGTTCAGTGAAGCTATGTTGTTGCCAGTGAAATTCAGGGTTCTCACACTAACAATGTTTTGTAGCGGGGCTGGATTCACACGTCTCAGTTGGTTGCCAGAGACGTCCAGACTGTGGAGACTGTTCAGACGTCGGAATGCATTCTCAGATATCGTGTTCAGTTGGTTCCCTGCAAGACCCAGTTTCTTCAAAGTTCCTAAACTGGAGAAGATATCATCGGGAACAGATGTGATGTTGTTGTTTTGTAAATACAGTTCCTGTAGATTGGAAACACTGGCAAACATGCTTGATGTAAGAGCAGACATTGGATTTTGCTCCAGACGTAAAACTGTCAAATTAGAATTATCTGAAAACACGTCAGATGCCAGGGATTCAATACCAAAGTTCTTGAGCTCCACTGTTTCCAAAAGGACTTTGCCAGCAAATAGACTTCTGTCAAGGGTCGGCGATCGCACTTGATAGTCAGATAGGATCATTTCCTTCAGAGTGTTAGGTAGGGCCCTTGGTGAAATGCCTGAACATACCACCTTCACAATCTGGCCAGATACTGGATCTGTTTCACAGCTGGAACATTCAAGAGGACATGTTGGTGATGTGGAGGTCTCAACTGTTGTTGTTGTCAAACATTCTACCTCCAGATCTCTGGCAGCTGTCTGTAGACTGGTGCCAACATACTTGGAGGGACTTGCACAAGCTGGATCGGATGCATTCTCAGACAGGAACTTGTAGGATGTATCCCGAACAGATTGGGTCAGCCACATTGTATCACAGTCACACAGCCAGGGATTGCCAGACAGATAAACACCAGACGACTGAGAAAGGAAGGTCGATAGATCAGCTGGGAAGGATTCAATGTTGTTATTTTCAAGGTTGGTCACATTTATATGGGACCTCCAATCACAGAGGTGTCAAACGATGTTAAAGAGTTGTTGCTCAGGTCAAGTAGATCAAGATTCAAATTATTCAGCTCTCCAGCTGCAATATTTTGTATTCGATTCCTGCTCAGTTTTAAGATTTTCAGAGTGGAGGACACATCCTGAATCGAAGAGGGTACTGCGGAAAGGATATTAGTGTTCATGTCCAGTTCTTCTAACGGCATACCCGGAATACGTCTACATCGACGGCGGCAATTTGATTTTCTGACAGATACAAAGTCTGTACATTTACCAGATTTGCAAAGTCACCAACGTTCAGTGAAGCTATGTTGTTGCCAGTGAAATTCAGGGTTCTCACACTAACAATGTTTTGTAGCGGGGTTGGATTCACACGTCTCAGTTGGTTGCCAGAGACGTCCAGACTGTGGAGACTGTTCAGACGTCGGAATGCATTCTCAGATATCGTGTTCAGTTGGTTCCCTGCAAGACCCAGTTTCTTCAAAGTTCCTAAACTGGAGAAGATATCATCGGGAACAGATGTGATGTTGTTGTTTTGTAAATACAGTTCCTGTAGATTGGAAACACTGGCAAACATGCTTGATGTAAGAGCAGACATTGGATTTTGCTCCAGACGTAAAACTGTCAAATTAGAATTATCTGAAAACACGTCAGATGCCAGGGATTCAATACCAAAGTTCTTGAGCTCCACTGTTTCCAAAAGGACTTTGCCAGCAAATAGACTTCTGTCAAGGGTCGGCGATCGCACTTGATAGTCAGATAGGATCATTTCCTTCAGAGTGTTAGGTAGGGCCCTTGGTGAAATGCCTGAACATACCACCTTCACAATCTGGCCAGATACTGGATCTGTTTCACAGCTGGAACATTCAAGAGGACATGTTGGTGATGTGGAGGTCTCAACTGTTGTTGTTGTCAAACATTCTACCTCCAGATCTCTGGCAGCTGTCTGTAGACTGGTGCCAACATACTTGGAGGGACTTGCACAAGCTGGATCGGATGCATTCTCAGACAGGAACTTGTAGGATGTATCCCGAACAGATTGGGTCAGCCACATTGTATCACAGTCACACAGCCAGGGATTGCCAGACAGATAAACACCAGACGACTGAGAAAGGAAGGTCGATAGATCAGCTGGGAAGGATTCAATGTTGTTATTTTCAAGGTTGGTCACATTTATATGGGAACCTCCAATCACAGAGGTGTCAAACGATGTTAAAGAGTTGTTGCTCAGGTCAAGTAGATCAAGATTCAAATTATTCAGCTCTCCAGCTGCAATATTTTGTATTCGATTCCTGCTCAGTTTTAAGATTTTCAGAGTGGAGGACACATCCTGAATCGAAGAGGGTACTGCGGAAAGGATATTAGTGTTCATGTCCAGTTCTTCTAACGGCATACCCCGGAATACGTCTACATCGACGGCGGCAATTTGATTTTCTGACAGATACAAAGTCTGTACATTTACCAGATTTGCAAAGTCACCAACGTTCAGTGAAGCTATGTTGTTGCCAGTGAAATTCAGGGTTCTCACACTAACAATGTTTTGTAGCGGGGTTGGATTCACACGTCTCAGTTGGTTGCCAGAGACGTCCAGACTGTGGAGACTGTTCAGACGTCGGAATGCATTCTCAGATATCGTGTTCAGTTGGTTCCCTGCAAGACCCAGTTTCTTCAAAGTTCCTAAACTGGAGAAGATATCATCGGGAACAGATGTGATGCTGTTGTTTTGCAAATACAGTTCCTGTAGATTGGAAACACTGGCAAACATGCTTGATGTAAGAGCAGACATTGGATTTTGCTCCAGACGTAAAACTGTCAAATTAGTATTATCTGAAAACACGTCAGATGCCAGGGATTCAATACCAAAGTTCTTGAGCTCCACTGTTTCCAAAAGGACTTTGCCAGCAAATAGACTTCTGTCAAGGGTCGGCGATCGCACTTGATAGTCAGATAGGATCATTTCCTTCAGAGTGTTAGGTAGAGCCCTTGGTGAAATGCCTGAACATACCACCTTCACAATCTGGCCAGATACTGGATCTGTTTCACAGCTGGAACATTCAAGAGGACATGTTGGTGATGTGGAGGTCTCAACTGTTGTTGTTGTCAAACATTCTACCTCCAGATCTCTGGCAGCTGTCTGTAGACTGGTGCCAACATACTTGGAGGGACTTGCACAAGCTGGATCGGATGCATTCTCAGACAGGAACTTGTAGGATGTATCCCGAACAGATTGGGTCAGCCACATTGTATCACAGTCACACAACCAGGGATTGCCAGACAGATAAACACCAGACGACTGAGAAAGGAAGGTCGATAGATCAGCTGGGAAGGATTCAATGTTGTTATTTTCAAGGTTGGTCACATTTATATGGGACCCTCCAATCACAGAGGTGTCAAACGATGTTAAAGAGTTGTTGCTCAGGTCAAGTAGATCAAGATTCAAATTATTCAGCTCTCCAGCTGCAATATTTTGTATTCGATTCCTGCTCAGTTTTAAGATTTTCAGAGTGGAGGACACATCCTGAATCGAAGAGGGTACTGCGGAAAGGATATTAGTGTTCATGTCCAGTTCCTCTAACGGCATACCCCGGAATACGTCTACATCGACGGCGGCAATTTGATTTTCTGACAGATACAAAGTCTGTACATTTACCAGATTTGCAAAGTCACCAACGTTCAGTGAAGCTATGTTGTTGCCAGTGAAATTCAGGGTTCTCACACTAACAATGTTTTGTAGCGGGGTTGGATTCACACGTCTCAGTTGGTTGCCAGAGACGTCCAGACTGTGGAGACTGTTCAGACGTCGGAATGCATTCTCAGATATCGTGTTCAGTTGGTTCCCTGCAAGACCCAGTTTCTTCAAATTTCCTAAACTGGAGAAGATATCATCGGGAACAGATGTGATGCTGTTGTTTTGCAAATACAGTTCCTGTAGATTGGAAACACTGGCAAACATGCTTGATGTAAGAGCAGATATTGGATTTTGCTCCAGACGTAAAACTGTCAAATTAGTATTATCTGAAAACACGTCAGATGCCAGGGATTCAATACCAAAGTTCTTGAGCTCCACTGTTTCCAAAAGGACTTTGCCAGCAAATAGACTTCTGTCAAGGGTCGGCGATCGCACTTGATAGTCAGATAGGATCATTTCCTTCAGAGTGTTAGGTAGAGCCCTTGGTGAAATGCCTGAACATACCACCTTCACAATCTGGCCAGATACTGGATCTGTTTCACAGCTGGAACATTCAAGAGGACATGTTGGTGATGTGGAGGTCTCAACTGTTGTTGTTGTCAAACATTCTACCTCCAGATCTCTGGCAGCTGTCTGTAGACTGGTGCCAACATACTTGGAGGGACTTGCACAAGCTGGATCGGATGCATTCTCAGACAGGAACTTGTAGGATGTATCCCGAACAGATTGGGTCAGCCACATTGTATCACAGTCACACAGCCAGGGATTGCCAGACAGATAAACACCAGACGACTGAGAAAGGAAGGTCGATAGATCAGCTGGGAAGGATTCAATGTTGTTATTTTCAAGGTTTGTGACTTTGATGACTGCACCTTCAAACACAAGTGGTCCCAATGATGACAGAGAATTGTTGCTCAAATCAAGAAAGTCTAGAGTATACCCTATGAGTTTGGATTCCTCAATTCCTGATATCCTATTACCAACAAATTTAAGAGTGTTTAACGTATCCTTGATGACTGAAAGGGAGCCAAACGGTACGGCTTGAAAATTGTTGCCGGAGAGGTCCAGATATGCCAATGATGTACCATTGAAAGCATCAACACTAATGCTTAATATGTCATTCTTCTGAATACTGAGTATTGAGAGAGATGCAAGGGTGCTGAACTGGAGTGCATCCAAAGACGAAATGTAGTTGCCCGACAAGTCCAGTGACACAAGAGTACTAGCCATCGACAAGGCAATACCGTTGATGGAAGTGAGTTTATTGTTGGACAAATCCAGCTGTTTTAGGTTTCTTAAACCATACAATACATTATCACTCAGGTTCGAAATGTTATTATTAGCCAAACTGAGTTTCTGTAACCCACTTATGGTACTTAACGCGTTGTCATCTATGGTTGATATGGAGTTGCTGTCCAAGATAAGTTCCGTGAGAGATGGAGAACTAGTGAATGTGGTTGTGGTGAGTATATCAATGTTATTCACACTCAGATCCAGCGTTGTCAGGGCTGTATTGTCCTTGAAGACATCAGAAGCCACAGTCTTAATTCCGAAGTTTTTCATCTGAACATATTCCAGATTTGGTTTTCCTTGGAAGTAGTTCACAGTCAACTCCGTGCTTCGCAAAGCAAAATCTGAAAGTTTGGCGACTTTGATGGATGTATCCAGGTTGATGGGGCTATACCCACTACACTCTACAGATATGATGTCCCCTGTCCCCGCATCAGTCCCACATACAGAACACTCTGTGGGACAGGTAGCACATCGAGACACTTGAACCACGCTTACCAAAAGGAGCAGTACACACAGCCAGTCTCTGTTTCGTTCCATGATTTCCGTTTGGAAACTGTTTTCTCCAAGCTTGTTAATTTTTCCGCACGTTGAATGTAATAATAATCCTGTTTGAATATGATATTAAAAACACTAGCGTCTAGGCATTGTTTGTTCTGCCAGGTTTAACACTACATGTGCTATTTTTTCTCATAGTGTTCGCTCACCTTCAATCTTCCCCTTTCTGAAAATGATCTTCTTTTGAAGACCTTGCAGGCTAATTGTGGTTTAAATACAGCTATGTAAACGGTGGCAGTGGGACGAGGTCCCGCCTCATGCTTCAACCAATCACCTTTGGTTGTTCTGTTTGAATGAGAGTCACATGTAACTGTAGTTGTCCTTTTAGGTGAATGTATTGATGATCTCAGGTGACTCTGCCGGTACGTGGATCTTGTTTGAAGATCTGATCAAGAAGAAGCAGTAAATGAGAATACCATGTTGAAGTTTATGTAGACTAAACGAGGTCCCTATCAAAAGAACTACTCTTGAATGGGTGAGCCAGCACTTAAAGCAAGAAGGTGTAGTTTGTTGACACTGTTCAATATGCATTTAGAAATATTCATCTCGCTGAGGGATCATATTGCATCGCCTCAAATATAGTCAGATGACGTCCCAGGTGCGGCATTAGCAACGTCAACACAACAACGCCGTGCACGGAGACGGCATGCGCGACAGACGAAGTGGAGAGAATTGTCAATGGGAGATACAGATTACTAGATAATATTTATTCTTGAAATGGATCGAACATTGTAACTTCGTAATTAAGAAATTTAAACCGCTGACAATACTTTCTATGCATTTTATTTTGGTCTTTTTTCATACTTCGCATCATGTGTATGCCGTACACTTTAATATTTGATCTGTTCAATATCTGGAATTCGAGTTGCACAGATTATTGGAAGTGTATTTATGGCAACTGAGTGAAGGCTGTTGAGACTTCCAAGATGTCTACAAGTGTGCAAATTGGTAGTTTTGCTCAGATAACGCTCGTTCGATATCAAGGCATATTAACGCGGGCAGGTGCACGCAAATGCTGTCAAAACACACAACCAATCGAATTCATAAACAATCAGCCTGGTTTGTTTTACATGTGCGTTGTTAAGGTCCATGTTTTGCAAATATTATGAATTTGATGTACGTAAGATCGTACAATGAAATATTCAATAAAGTCGCTCATAACAATGGGTCAGTTCAAGCATGTGTCCGTAAATTTGTAAACACCCATCACCGGTGGATGCCTGCTGACTAACGATGCTCTCTCTCTCTCTCTCTCTCTCTCTCTCTCTCTCTACACGCTCTCTCTCTCTCTCTCTCTCTCTCTCTCTCTCTCTCACACGCTCTCTCTCTCTCCTCACACACGCTCTCTCCCTCACACGCTCTCTCTCTCTCTCATACACGCACTCCCTCTCTCTCTCACACACACGCTCGCTCTCCCTCACACACGCTCTCTCTCTCCACTCTCTCATACACGCACTCTGTCTCTCTCTCTCTCTCTTTCTCTCGCTCACACACGCTCCCTCTTCCACCCCCCACACCCCCACACCCCCAACTCTCTCTCTCTCTCTCACACACACCACAAAACCCATACGCCTCATTAGTTAATATTTATATATTTAGCCGTTGCGACCGTCTAATGTTTACAGGATAAACGTGCATGTAAATCATCTAATATGCTGACTGAATTAACAAAAAAGGAAATTCAACAAGATTGAGATTTTACCAAGATAACGGCCAGACACGTCACGATATATTTAAAAGTACACGATGTCAAGAATATACGCCTTCTGTTATTCACATGAGTTCAATGCTGAGGAGTTACCGTGGTGTATGTAAGTGGCTGTGGCTCTTTAGCGTCAATCAGTATTGTTCATTTGTGTACCCGCTCCTTTATACTGTATTATAAGTGAGTGAATTTGATATTACACTACAAATATGATTTCCGTTATATTGATGTGTGTCAGTTTACTGAGGGGGCAATTTTACAGCAACGCTGATCACCAGAAAGATATGCTGGTTGTGAGAGGCGACCAAAGACCAAATGAATCGGCAGGCGTGTGTGTGTATGTGTTTGTTTTTTGTTGTTAGTGGTGGTGGTGGTGTCTATGTGTGTGTGTGAGAGAGAGAGCGAGAGAGAGAGAGAGAGAGAGAGAGAGAGAGAGAGAGAGAGAGAGAGAGAGAGAGAGAGAGATGAGAGAGAGAGAGAGAGAGAGAGAGAGAGAGAGGTGTATGTTCAACCTTGGTGACTGAGTCGTACCTAGTCTGTCTCACAGTCCCTAAACCGCACTATTTTCACTTCTACCTGGCCATTTGTGCAATGCAAAAGCCCTAGATGAGGCAAGTGTAGATTACCTCAGGTTCAGAAATCCCTTCTCATTGGGGCTACTTTCCAATTACAAGGAATTGTTTTGTTACCATTAAAATTGTATATATTGAGATATTCAGCGTCAGTCTAGGTCGTACCCCGGCTTGGATAGTTGCTTACGATATCAATCACTGGATTAGTCACAGCTGGAGCATTGCAAACTGCGGTATAAATCAATTAAACAATATATCGCGTATTGGTTCGATGTTAAGGACACAGGAGCGTGTCACGCTTAGAAACAGCGTTAGAAAGACATATATGTATATAGACCCTACCCTAGTACTATATAAAAGGAAAGGATGTAACCTTTTATATAGTACTAGGGTAGGGTCTTATGTCTTTCTAACGCTGTTTCTAAGCGTGACACGCCCTGTGGTTAAGGATAAGGAAGTGGAGATTACCCCGATGCCCAATACGAAAATTACCATCGAGGGGGGTTGGGTGTGTCACAGGGGCGTGTCACTCTTATTTGTGTTTCTAACGCTGTTTCTAAGCGTGACACGCCCCTGTTGGGTGTGTGAAATGCTTTTTGTTTTGTTTCTTTATTTTTTTTCCCTTTTTTTATGGAGTGTGCGTGCGCCCGCCCGCATCCTGCGTATGGCGGAACTCCTATTTCCCAGGATACTTGCCACTGTCACCAGCCAAGGCCTCCGTTACACATACCGACGTTTCTTAGCTGCAGCATTACTGACTGTTGTGAAACACATCAAACACTACCTCCCTTACCACTAATTACAAATCGATTACACTCAGAGACCCCGTGTTTGCTCACCGTTCTGTTCCTGGATTTTATTGAATCAATGTAAACAAACAGCCATGTGACATGTTAACCCATCATGTCATACATGACTTGACAATGAGGAATTATTTGCATCCGTTCGGGGAGACTTAAGCGTCCGTTTTATCATAATCAACAAATATTTTTCGACAGTACATGTACCCTTATCTTGGAGCTGATCTGGAACCGGAACAGACAGTAACCCAACCTACGGAGACAAAGCTGTAACTTCGGAGGGATCGCTGCGATTTCGTGAATTTCCACTTAGTGTCGAGACATGTGCCATCAGTCCTTGAGTACAGCGTCTATACGTTTCAATTCCCGATGTATTTCGGAACATTGTCAATGTATTCAAATGTCTATTTTAAAAAATAGATATATATTAACGGAAAAAATAACTGTGCATAACGTAAAATTTCATAAAATACAAGTTATTTGAAAAGTCATTAAAATATCCATAAATAAGCATGTAGCAAAGAACTTTACAGGAAATTTGTCACCTATCGAGTGTGAAACATGCACTTTCAATGAACTTACTCACTTTTTGCATGCTTTTTGACCCCTGAAGTTCACACACCTGATACTGAAAATTGAAGAACGGTTGATGATTCTCTAGCCTCTGAATGTTGTGGAAAACACGTTAATTTTAACCTCAACAGCACGAACTTCAAGCCACGCCTTACAGAAAACTGAGACTTAAATGGCCCAAAATGAAACACGATCTCATCTCTATGGTGACGTTTTCAACATAATGGGAACACGAGTGATTTGCCTCGGACTAGCTGTTAAACTCACACGTGACGTGACGTCAACAAGACAACCACATTCGGCTGATCCATCTAAGGAATCGATTCCAGACTGCCAGTATGACTGCTCGGGCCATTCCTGGTTTACGTCCAATCAGTTCTAGGACTGTACGGAACCGACTGAGGGAGCACAACATCCGACCCCCACGGCATGTTATACGTCCAGTTTTGCTCCAACGTCACCGACAGGCAAGTCTTGCCTGGTGCAGACATTATCTACGGTACAGGAGACAAGATTGGGATGCAGTTTTGTTCACTGACAAGTCGAGATTTGATCTGGGCCCAAGATCGCAAGCCAGTCTGTGACACAAGATCAATATCTGTCTTTGTTTTAACTTATATATACATCTTGGAACAACAAGCTTAGGTCTAAGAGTGTTCATGTTCAAATATGTTATAGTGACTAATTCAGGACAGTCATCGTCCAAATATTTAAAAAGCCTAAAACCTATGTAGTCCAGATATGTGAGACTTTATTGTAATATATATATGACGCTAACCTGTAATCTTAATCACTACTGTACATCCTTATCACTACCGCATTGTACATTGACTTGTCAGCCCATTAATTATTGTATAAGACATTTATAACCTTCATTGGTAATCCCCCTTGCCGTGTCTGCATCACATCAACTGGTCAAGGAAGTGCTATTGTTTTTCTGTCTGTCCACTGATGAGTCGTCGCCTGTCCATTGTTGTCAAAAACTGCATATATACTTAGTATGCTCACATCTAGACAGTGAAGGAGTACGAGTCCGGTATTCCAATTGTCTGTAGGGGCGACCACGAGAAGGAGAATGCCGCTCGTTGGAAACGCCCTGTGATTGAGCAGGTACTCCGCTCACCACATGTATGTCTTGTGTATTTGTTTGTCATGTACTAAAGACGTTTGAACTCAACTATGCCTTCGTCTTCATCAACGCACACTTCATCTTAATTATGAGCTAATTCCCCAGTCGACCATAACCACGCGTTGCCAACTATAAGAAGAAGCAGAATCTCCCTGCATATCTGTGTTTTCATCTTTGGTGCTACGTTATACACTATGGGTGAA